AGGGAAAGCAGAATAATTAAGTTTCAAAATGTAATAGTACTAGACACATGTACCCTGGTGGTTAGGTGGCAAAAAAAATATCAGAAGAGAAGTCTCAGGCAGATCCAACATACACTGGGAAACATTACAGCATGGTAAAAAGCATTAGTTAGTCAGCTCAACAGATCTGCATATTTTTTTTAATTATATACACCAACAGCCAAAATCAATATGAGATTGTGTCAGCTGTAAGAAAAAAAAAAACAGGGGGTGGGGGAGTGGGTGTGTTCTATAGCTTGTTTCTCACAATTGAATGGTTTCATTAGCACCAAACAACAAACCCTCTCCCCAACTCACATTCAATGTTTGATAAGCAACAGCAAATCTCTTGGCTTTTTTTGCCCTAGCCAACTATGACTTCTGGGGCTCACAGACATTACACTGAATGAAAGCAAGAACCAAGTGCATTATAAAACATATTTACAGCAACCTCTGTATTACAGTGTTGTTTCACAGAAAACATGAACGTATTGGCTCTATTTATAAAGTCAGTAGCTAGTTCACTCTCATGGCAAGCTGTCTGGAAGAATATTCTGGAGACATGCTTCACTTTTCAGACTTCAACTTAAAAAGGCACTCCACTTTTAGCCTAGCTTTAAATACATTAACAGTCCCACTGAATACAAGATCACCTTTTGTACAAGTTCATGATTATCCTTAAGCCCTTTACCAAACTATCCTTAATTCAAAGTCATGAGTCTCTGAAATTGTTAAGCAACTGTCATCAAGGCAAGTTGATTATTGTCACACATAATTAGTACAAAATTTTACAATATATAGAAAAAAGAGCAATCTCTTGGCTCATATGAAAGGTTGAGGAAGCAGACACCGGAGTTTTGCTGAAGCTTTGGAAGAAAATGAAGGCTTTAATTTCTCCTAGCTGGAAAAAGGAATACTCACAGGAGCGTTGTGCAGATTAATTGTTACAAAAGCATTTTGATTTCTTCAGACAGAAGGTCCTCCTAAAGCAAAGGGATCACTGCTGTGCAGCAGTACCAGAACTGAAATGCGAGTTTTTATTTTTCTCTTTTTCCTAGTGTTGCAAGTCAGCACAGCACGAATATGATAATTAGAGGGATTTTTTGAAAGCTACAAGCAATAACATCCAAATGAAAAAACTGGCACTGTTCCACTTGACCCAGAAGTTCCTGATGCTCAGCTTTATTTCCAGGAAAACATGATTCAAGCTTCAGATGACAACAAAACCTGCTTTACTCAGAACACTCACACAAAAGCAAAGTCTCCTCACAAATGTGAATACTTCCACTTAGGGATGCTAAAAAAAAAAAGTCCTTTCTGTCTACTGCTTACGTTCACTACAGTATTTTATGAAGAACAACAGCAGCATACAGGAAGATTTCAAGCTGAGCTGTGGCCTACTCTATAGGTTCTTCTTCAAGTCTGAAAGTCATTTGAATAATTTTATACACACTGGAAATTCTTTGGACTGTTCCTCACACCAATCCAGAAGCTTTTAGAAATCTATGATGACTTACACAGTCAAAGCAAATGGCCTTTCTCACCTTCCAACCTGATGAAAAGTGTTCAAGAAGTAAGCATCACTCTGGTCTTTTTGGAAAGGGAAGGGAATCCAGCGAAACACTTGTCTTCATATCCATTCACAGCTAATACCCCTATTCCCATTATCCACCCTTCATTTCTCCTTTAGTAGGAAGGGAACAGTTTACACTGCAAAATCAGCTCAGACTACCAGTTTAACTCATCTACCCGTCTGATAATCAAATAAGCACCTTCACACTCCTGCATGTACTCTTAGATGAGAGTTTGTCTTAAAAATTCACAGATATTTCACTATTTGCTTACTGATTCCTCTTTGCCATAAGACCTAAAGTAACAGGCAACTACTAAATTGATGATGCACAAGATCAGTTCATCATGCAAGTCATCTTTTTTTGTATGCTCATGTGTTTGTACTCAGCTTCTAGAGCTCCGATTAAACCCTAAGATCTCCAATGAAGAGATCCACTTTTGTTCTGCAGGTAGGGCACAGTGATTGCAAAAGCCAATTTCACCAGCTGCTGCAGTGATTCTTTGCTGAGCAAAACAGGGATACTGCATGTGCCTGCTCCACATCCACGCCCCCCAGTGTAAGGCTTCTCAATCTCTTTTTTTTTCTTCTTTTTTTAAACCATTCATCTATGCTCTTTATTATGTATATCAAAATAATGTCAACATTTACCTCTAGGACTAATGCACATTTGAGATGAAAAAGGAGCCATCTATGTATCAATGAGCCTGTGTTTCAGACCGTCCACGTGGTCAGGAAGACATCGCTGTATCAGGTCACATTCAGAACATTTGGGGTTAGGTGTTTAGAATGTTTCTAAGGGTTAGAGATGATGCTACTGCCATCAGTGATGTCTTCTGGATTCATCCTACCTTCAATAAAGGTGAAAGACTACTAGGCTGTAACTACTATCTAGCTATTCACCACAACTTAATTAACTTTGTATAGTGAAGAAAATAATAGCTACACATTTACACTATTACTCTAACTACAGCACAGCAGTGAGACATAATTGGTCCTACTTAGCCCTTCCTGGATAAAAATAAGCCTCACTTGGCTTATTTTTAACCTTTAAAGATCTCCATGACAGCTCAATGAGCAGTCAGTATAACATTTTGCATTTCTAGGCACTGAAAAACATCCGTGAGATACTCAGCCAGTGGTACAGTTCTAGCTGAAGAATTAGACAAAAGTCACAAAAAGTAGTTGCGTTCCACAGGAAGCTTGACTAGACAGTATTGGTACTAAAACTTTCTCATTTTTCCTTGTGAGATTTTTCCAGTTGCCCATGCTCTCCCTCTGTAAGGAGCCATGTATTTTAGTGAAAACTTAAGTCATTTCCCTGCAGCATTTCATCAAACCTCACACTGATCCCTGTGGAGAATTCCACTTTTCAGATTTTGCCACCATACCTAAAATAATTCTGTCTGGAATTTATCTGTTGCTACCATTTGTCTTTCAGATTTCAGGCTCCAGTGCAACAAAAACGATGCAAAACAGTAAGAGCCACAAAGCAAAAAACCCCCCAAACCCAAACAAAACAATAAAACAACCAACCAACAACAACTCCCCCCCTCCCCCCCCACCACAACAACAACAAAAAGAAAAAGACCAAACCCATAATAATGCAGGCTTAGAACCAAAGTCTAGACGAAAAAGAAAAAATAGCTATGGCAGAGCAAGGCATGAGTGTATATACTCAGCCTTTTAAAGGGCAAAACATGCCAGAACTGCAAATCAAACTCTTCTTTAAACAATCTGAGCAAATGCCATGAAAATTTCTTTCAGCTCTATGAAATTAAAGCAAAGTAACAGAACACTCAAAGGAAAATACAAATCCATCTATAAAATGAAATCAAATGAAGGGATGTTTACGAACATATTCCACAAAGGCATTAAGAAAGATAGTTTTAGCGTTATCCTGCACTGAAAAAACCAGCATGCGTGGTATCACTGAGTGCAGGTAATTGCTGAATTAAGCGGTCACTTCAGTGAGTGCAAAACACATTTTAGAGTGCAGTTTAGAAAACTGAAGATGTCTTTTGAGTTGAATCCATTTCAGGAATAGCAAACCCATGAGTATGTTTCTATGGTAACGACCACTGATGGCTAGAAACACCTAATCTGATAAC